CCCACCCCCCCCGGGGCTCCCAAGTCTCCTCGTGGAGGAGGGGGTGGCCGGAGCTGTGCCAGCCCTGCTTTCCTTGGCCACTGAAAAAGGTGGGGAGAGGAGGGCCTGGCTCTGGGCAGCCCCAGCCCTCTGCATGGCTTGCTCCTGTGGGATGCAGGATGTCGTGAGAATCACAGGTCCGATGATGAATACCCAAGGGGGGAAGGACAGAACCAGGTGGACAGTTTTATCAAATAAAAAATATTTACGACAGTGGTGGATTTATAGTATTTATTCTAAGATTTTTAATAGACCATGTTAATAATGAATTTACAGTATTTGTTATATTTATTCTATGATTTCTAGTTAAACGTGTCAGATATAAGGATGGGAATGGCAAGGGAAATAGTCTTAAAATATCCAGCTACAGTAATAAAATAACAGTGATAACTACAAACTCTTATGTACTACCCAAAAACAACTACAACACTAAGCTTATACAACAGGAAAAAATCAAATCATACATACCAACTTACACAGCACACAGAACATTTCACAGATATTGGTTCGGTTGCGAAGGTCTTGGTTACGCCCGAGAGTCGGGGGAGGTGGCTGGTCGGTTGATCAGGCCGGCAGCGCTTGGAAGTATACGAGAAGGCACACGCACGGTGGTACGTGTGTTTTGAAGACCTCCTAGAGCGAACTGTGCGATGGGTATTTATCCCCAAATCTGCACATCACTTTCCCGTGCTTGCGTGTTACCATATATGGCCCAATGGTCACCAAGTGGGGGGTCTGTGTCCCAGGGGTTGGGCTGAAACTTTGCAGGTTTCATGCAACCAGGTAAGCCCCGCAGTTCTCACGCCAAGGTGACGGGTGGGAGAGTCTGAGGCTATTTTCCCCTTTTCACACCTTTCCTTTTTCTAAAGGCAATGGTATGCAGGAAGAGTGTGGCCGGTTTCTCTCAAGGAGTACTGCAGAACAAGAGCGGCCTGGCCAAACTTTTTTACTGGGGGGACAGTTTCTTTTCTCTAACACAGGAGAATCTTTTTTATAGGTATAGTAAGATATTTTGGAATCAACTTAACCCTACATTTTCCTGGCTTCTGCTTCTGGCCTTGGATTCCCTACAATTTTTGTTTGCTTTTGCAGGCACACTGTCATTATGTGGTGGTGAAGCTCTTCACAGCACAGCTCTCAGAAATTAATGATGCAGCTGTCCATGCTGTGATGAGCAATCTGTGTCTCCTGTATGCACTCTATGGAATCAGTAAACACACAGGGGATTTCCTGCAGGTCAGTATCTCAGTTCAGTATCCCATATCTTAAGGGCTACAGTGTGCTCTGGTGTGAAGTTGCTGTGAAATGGAAGACAACTGCAATTATCTGGGCTGTTCAGGCTTGAGAGCTCCAGGGTTAAACCTGGCACAAGGCAGAGCTATTTCAGATGGAGCTCTGGAATTAGCTTCCTCTTGCAGCCCTCCAAAGGCAGAGTTGGATGGCCATTAGGTTATGGTTGAGGACTCATCTCTTTAGACTAGCTTAATTGGGGGTTTTTTTTGGTCTTTGACTAATAGGCTGCTTACTGTCAAGCGGGGAGTAATAAGAGATGGATGTCATGCAAATGTGATAAGTCAATAAATCCTACACTGGGGTGTGTACAGAAGTGCTCATTAATAGATAAGTAAAGAAGAAAAGGGCTTGATCTTGAAAAATCTCTCACCTAGATATTTTCCAGTCAGAGTATCCAAGTGGTACAAGACGAGCTACTTTTCTCTATCAGCTCCTATGATGCAAGAGCAGGGGTGGGCAAAAAAATGTCTGAAGTGGCTCTGGGCCGCACTGGAGGGGGCGGGACCTCAAGCAGAAGGGGTGGGGCTGGGATACTTCCCGGTTCCCTGCCTTTGCCTGCCAGCCCCTTCCCGCTAGGTGCCTAGGAGGAGAGTTTCTACACTCCCGTCCCCAGGTTCTGATTGGCCTGGGAGGGGCGAGGAGGAGGAGTGTGCGAAGTTTCCTCCACCCTATCCTTGCCCTGTGAGGAGTATATAGTGCTTAAAAGTGCCATGCGCTCCTGGCAGGGCGGGAGGAGGCTTCGCACGCTCCCCCACCCGCAGGCCAATCAGGGCCTGGGGGCGGGGGAGCGCACAAAGTATTCTCCCACCCTGCCAGGAGTGCATGGCATTTCTAAGTGCTGCGTGCTCCTCACAGGGCGGGGCCAGGGTGGAGGAAACTTCATGCACTCCTCCACTCCCAGGCCCTGATTGGCCTGGGGGTGGGGAAGCACGCAAAGCCTCCTCCAGCCCGGTCAGGAGCGCCTGGGACTTCCTTCTGGGTGGAGGAAACTGCCTGGGGGTGGGGGAGCGGCAGGGCCCCTGTGAGCCAGATCCACCTGCTTGGCAGGCCAGATCCAGCCTGCGAAGGCCCTTTTGCTCACCCCTGTGCTAGAGCATGTTTGTACTGATAAGTATGGTCTTTCATAGCCACCTCCTGCATTTACCAAACAGCTATGAAAACAGAGAGAACTTTTGATTTTGGTTGGTTAAAATAGAAGCAATTTAATTCTTTGGCATCCCCTAAGAGGAAAGTGTTTTGACAAACTGGCCTTCCTTGTAGGGGAAAGTTGACCTGCAATCTGATCTTCCACATAGAACCATGAGATCTTATGTCTGTAATTAGATTCTGTTCTGATAAGTCCTTTGGCTTTTGTTCCAGGCGGGCATTTTGACCAATGCTCAGGTTACTCAGGTGTACCAGCGTGTGAAGGAACTCTTGGCTGCAATCCGTCCCAATGCTGTAGCGCTAGTTGATGCCTTTGATTTTCATGATAATCACCTTGGATCTGTGCTTGGCCGGTATGATGGCAATATCTACGAGAATATGTTTGAATGGGCAAAGAAATCCCCACTAAACAAAACAGAGGTAAGGAGGATCCCTTATTTCTCCCTACTAACTCCTACTCTGCCTGTCCTAGAGCAAAATGATTCAGCCTAAAGCAACTACAGCTACAGTAGCCCTTCTGGAAGATTTGGGGGAAAAATAAAAAGCCTTAAAACAAAGTGTGGCTATTTGTAATGACAAAAGAAACTGACAGTTGTCCTCTAGATTTTTGAGAATATTTGCTGCATTTCTAAATCAGTTTGTAGCTGCAGTAGACAAAAACCAGAGATCTGTATGGTTGCAAGCCAGGGAAAGTTCTCCATCTTGGTAAACAGGATAGAATACCATAGGGATGTAAGCGACTAGTCAACTAGTGATGCCTCTAGTCGCTTCCCCCCTTGCTGTCTCTATCGGAGAAAAGCAGCAACCGGGAAGAGGGGGCAGGAGCCGGTGCTGGGGGGAGCTGTCTTAAAAGTCAGTTCCCCCAGCACCATCTCCACGGGATAGGGGGAGGGAGGTAGAAGCACAGTGGGAAACGGTGCAAGCAGGAACTAAAGCAATCTGCTTGCACTGGTTCTGCTGGCCTCTGCTTTTGAAATGTACAAGAGCCCTGTTGGGGCTCTTGTACATTTAAAAGGCTCAGGCACCACAGGGAGCATGGGGCCAGTCCCCTGCTGGCCCCAGGCTCTTGCTACAGATCAAAGGCAGAGGCACCCTTATTGGCTAATCAAATAGTTGATGGAAATCCCATCAACTATTTGATTAGTTAATTATTCTAAATTTAACATTCCTAGAATAGAGTACCCTACCAATATATTGTCACTTTTACTTGCCGTGATGAGGTCCACAGTAAATTAGGTATCTCAGACCTGAGATTAAAGCCAAACTTGTAAACACTGTTAGGAATCCCAGCAGGGTCATTCTTCCAAGATCAACTGAGAGCATATAGTTCACTGTGGGGAGTTAATATTTTTTAAACACTTGAAAGATTCTATGGCTCTTCTTGTGAGAATAGTTGCAGGAGGCAGTTTGTTCCTGTGTTCTGGACAGATTTCCCCTGTTTGACTGCTACCTTTCACTGCGCAGGTGGCTGTCTCACTGGTTTTCTATTTGTATAAATAACCTGCAGAATCAAAAAATGTGTTTTTTAAAAATTAAAACAAAAATTATTTTGATCTAATATTCTTTTTCTCCTCTCCCCTACAGGTTCATGAGTCTTTCCACAAGCATCTGAAACCAATGCAAGCCAAGCTGTGAAAATGTTTTTTTTTAAGAAACACACAGTTGTCCAATTTAGAAATTGGATGTCATTGCCTTTCCTTCAGGCACCTGAATCAAATCTTTGAAATCCCAATAACCATAGGACAGTAAATAATTGTAGCATCTCTTCCCACTTTTATATATTGACAGGGTACGGTGCGGGAATTTAGAGTGTGTGCATAAGACGTGGATGTGTTTTTTAAAGTGCAATTATAATAATTGAGAAATGAGCCTTTTAAGCATTGTGGAATATTGTACAGATTCATGCAAAGCTTCCATTTGTCAACCTGCTAACGGCAGAGGTTGTTCATTTGGAAAGCATAGTAGGATTTTACTACTAAGTAGTTCACTGAATTCAGGCAATAGCTGCTGATGAACAGCTATCTTGCTTAAAAACCACACTTTACTCACCGACACCCTTGTGCCACAATGATCCATCACATATGCACAGCTGCTTTCTGAATCCTCCTCCCTCTTGGTGTTCAGAATCCAAGGGTTTAAACTGGGTCTTAATCAAAGCTTTGTGATATTCTACATTTTAATCCACTTCTCTCAAAGTTCATTACTCCTGTCTCCTTGAGCATAACGTTGTCTTTCCATAACATCAGGTCCCCCTGCCTGAACCTCCCTCCCTGCAGCAGAAGCTTCCAGATGCAATTAGGAGTAGGAATGTGTTCGGGTGCACTGTTAAATGGTTACACACAAGTTCTCTCCCTGCTATGTCTCAGAGGTAGCACTGGGGGGAAGGAGGGAAAGGGAAAGGGAGCAGGTGGGAGGCAGTGCTCAAAGGAAGCTGGCCTATCCTGTATCAGAGGCAGCAATGCAAGGGGAGAGGGACAGGCATCCCTGTGAGAGCTGGTGCTCGTGGGGAGCCAGCTTTTGCCAGCTCCCCATATGCACCGGCTTCCATGGAGCTGCCTCGCCCTTGTGTGTAAACACGTAACTGCTGAGGTTACACATTTACCAAAAAAGCCCCACACTTTTTAACATCCCTAATTGGGAGTTATACTCCTTTTCCTTTCAGGAGCGCTAGCTCAGTCAAACCATTCAGTGAACTTTAGCTGTGGTATTGATTGCATCCTTTCTCCCTTCAACCTGCCAGTCTCCCTTATACCGCCATATTCCATGTCCATCCTAGGCACCCTCCCCTGTTTGAGGCTCTCAACTAATGGTAGCTTTAGAGAAAAAACAGTGATGCTATTTCCCCCACTCAAACCTCCCCAAAAATATGCAAATTTCACCCATGTGCAAATTAATGGGAATTCTGTCATCTTTTTAATTTTTTTATTTCCATGGTACTTCACATCGGCAAAGCACTTTACAAACACTCATAGATATAGGTATGCTGTCTAAAGCACCATTGCTAGTGGAAATTGCAAAGCTAACCAATTGTGAAACCAGTGCTTGCCAGTATTTGAAAGCAAAAATTGGTTGGTGTGGGTCTTGGGGTCTTAGACCCACTGATCTTGCTCTGTGATGTTTATCCAAACAGGTGTTGCATGGAAACTTTGAGCAGTACCTTCTAGTGCAGTGGTTCTCAAACTTAACTGATCAGGCCCTCCTCCTTTGTATCTGTAGTTGTTTATGCACCCCCCTCTCCCAAATATATATACCACCTAGTTATGGAGGCAGAGGAGCAGCTGCAGGCTGGGCACCCAGTGCTGTGCCAGCAATAACACAGACGTACACAATGCCCCATTGCCACCCTTAAGATCTGTGCTGCTGCTGCCACCCTGAGGGACGGACAGCTGGAGCCCTGCCATTTCCAGGAGAGGGACTGAGGAAGGGAGAAAAAAAAGCCCAAGCCCGGATGGTGAGGCTCCAGCTATTCACCTTTATCTCTGCCTCTTGAGTGTGTCCTTCTGCCTAAGCCCTAGTCACTTAGGGCTAACAACTAGAGTTCCCCTCTCTCCCAAAAAACCCTCTCAAAAATCCTTGATACATTGCTGCACCTCTTTTGGGAGGTTGAGGCTAGCCCCTTAGTTTGAGAACTGCTGTCCTAGTGGAACAACTACAGCTTTTTTTCTTTGAGAGCTTCCAACGAGCTTTCTCTGAAATGTTAATGTCCCTTTTAATACTGAATTGAGACTGACACAATTGCTTTCTGTATTAACAGATTAAAGATTTAGCTTTTAATCAGTTTTCTGTGTAATCATTTGTAAAACCAGAAAAAGGTTTGTTTGTCCTCTTAACCAATATCCTTTTTCCAAAACAAGTGAAGAGCAGCAACTTTGAGTTTAAAGTGCTTCCTTCAGGATAATCCTGTGGTCTGTCTCTATTTTGGTGCCCTGTTATGAAAGTCACTAGCTTTGGGCATTTCCACAGAGGCATTTTGGCATTAATCTCTTCAACCAGACAGGGTAGCTCGTTGTATTAAACCTGGACTGAAATACATAATCATAGAATACTAGAACTGGAAGGACTGTAGAGATCAAGTCCAGTCTCCTGCCCTCACGGCAGGATCAAGCACTATCTAGATCATCCCTGATAGATGTCTGTTCAACCTGCTCTTAAATATCTCCAGTGATGGAGATTCCACAACCTCCCTAGGCAATTTATTTGTATTTAATCACCCTGACAGGAAGTTTTTCCTAATGTCCAACCTAAACCTCCCTTGCTGCAATTTAAGCCCACTGCTTGTCCTATCATCAGAGGTCAAGGAGAACAATTTTTCTCCCTCCTCCTTGTAGCACCTTTTTAGATACTTGAAAATTGCTGTCATACCCCCCCCCCCCAGTCTTCTCTTTTCTAAACTAAACAAGCCCAGTTCTTTCAGTCTTCCCTCATAGGTCATGTTTTCTAGATCTTTATTTTTGTTGCTCTTCTCTGGACCGTCTCCAATTTTTTCACCTCTTTCTTGAAATGTGGCAACCAGAACTGGACACAATACTCCAAGTGAGGCCTAATCAGCATAGAGTAGAGCGGAAGAATGCCTTCTCGTGTCTTGTGCACAACACTCCTGTTAATGCATCCCAGAACCATGTTTGCTTGCTGTGCTGCTTTTTTTTTTTGCAAGTTTCACACTGTTGTTGCATCCTGATTCAGCTGCTGCTGAAACTGACCAGCGGCAAGAAAAGCCTGGTCTGCTGGGGGGGGGGGGGGGGGGCGGGGGGGGGCCCCCCCCGGCGAATGCCTTCTCGTGTCTTGTGCACAACACTCCTGTTAATGCATCCCAGAACCATGTTTGCTTGCTGTGCTGCTTTTTTTTTTTGCAAGTTTCACACTGTTGTTGCATCCTGATTCAGCTGCTGCTGAAACTGACCAGCGGCAAGAAAAGCCTGGTCTGCTGGGGGGGGGGGGGGGGGGCGGGGGGGGGCCCCCCCCGGC